TTGGTTGAAATTCAACTAGCACAAATTGTTTTGATTGGATGTTAAAATTTGCATTTTTACATCCGAATTTTGTTATAATAAGAAAGTTCTCTGAAACTGTTTCATCGTTCATGTAAGATAGAACTGTAACTAAGAATAATAGCCACATCAATTCTATTCAAGTGACATATTATACTCCTATCTGTTAATAGATATGGAGACAATGATTAGGATCAGTTTTTTTGGTGATCACGTAGAAACGGATCTTAATTTATTCCGTTATATTGATTAAAGTCATCAATAATCGTAACAAGAGGGAGACTATGCATGTCATCTAAAGTAAGCTAGAAAAGATTGATAACTATCTCCTAATCATGACAACGATTAGTAGTTATAATAATGAAGAATGTAACTTTAAATTAATGAATATTTATATATGAACAAGGAGGAAATTATCTTCTATCTAACTGTTTCAATGAATTATTTTAGCTCAACATTTAAGCCAGTAAAAATTGCCATCTACGTTTAAACAAATAAATAAATCACTGTGGTATAATAAAGTAAACGGTATATTTAATTAACCATAAACGTATTATGAGTTAAACATTGGCAAATGACTAACAGTTGACACTTGCTTAAATGAATAATAGTCAAGGCTCTATGTTCAGGTTACAGTCCACTCTGTCGGCATAGATTCGAGTCCCACTCCTGACACTAGACTTATTCACATGGACACGAACTCAATCACTTTCATCTAAACACACACACATATACCAATACAAACGGAAACACTCACTGGCCAATGTATGGATCAGAAATGACAATGTAGATATTTATGTTTGGATGATATTTCCAAATAGTAATGTTTAAGAAACTAGTGATGTTTTATGTCACTATCATGTGTCGAAAATAAACGAAATGATTTGTTCAAGGGTATCACATTCTGTGAGGTCTTCCCGGTTTCCCACATTGTTCGAACGTTCCATGTACCTATAAAAATTTTTGCTCTGGTTGTTAGAAGGGGCATCGGCCTCGTGGCTTCCGAAGGAACTCGGCTTTCACCATGAAGCGTCATAATTCTTCTAAATGAAGACCTTCTAACTCTCAGGGCAGAGTTTAAATGGTTTGAATTATTTTTTCTGGTAAGCGTTTTTTTAGCGAGTTAGTTTTCTACGGGATGGGGACGCTAACCCCATGCCCAACCCTCCTCCTTTACCCGGGCTTGGGACCGGCAGTAACTCTAGAAGAGCTACAGGCGGAGGTTCAGATGCAGACGTAAAGGCGAGGATTGGCAAAGCAAGGGTCGCATTCCTACAATTGAAGAACATATGGAATTCAAAACAACTTTCAACCAATATCAAAGTGAGAATCTTCAATACGAACGTCAAGGCAGTTCTACTGTATGGAGCTGAAACTTGGAGAACTACAACAACCACAATCAGGAAAGTACAAGTATTTATAAATAGCTGTCTACGCAAGATACTCAACATCCATTGGCCAGATACCATCAGCAATAGCCTTCTGTAGGAGAGAACAAACCACCTTCCAGCTGAAGAGGAAATTAGGAAAAGACGATGGAAATGGATAGGACATACATTACGCAAATCGTCAAACTGTATCACGAGACAAGCCCTAACTTGGAATCCTGAAGGTAAGCGGAAAAGAGGAAGGCCAAAGAACACATTACGTCGGATAATAGAAGCAGATATGAAAAGGATGAATTACAACTGGAAGGAGCTGGAAAGGATTGCCCAGGACAGGGTTGGATGGAGAATGCTGGTGAGCGGCCTATGCTCCTTCACGAGGAGTAACAGGCGTAAGTAAGTAAGTAATCACATTCTGTGACTAAATAAAGAGTTGTTGAGTAACTTTACAATGTTATCACCATTAAGATTGTTTTCAGTTATAAATTACCCAGAAAGAAGCCCATATTGATGGCCGTTTACAATTGATTTTTTAAATGTAAGTAAAGGGTTGTGGAGACTATTGAGTTTTAATTGAGATCATGAATCGATCAATATTAAACCACCATTGAAAACCTGTAAGCACTAGACAGTCGTTTCGCCCTAGTATGGAACCCTTAAGTAGTGCGTATTCACAATCCTGAATGGGGGATTCGAACCCAGGACCTTTGGTCCCGCACGCTAACGCTGGTGACTAGCGGTGAGATTCAGGATATGCGTTTCGTCCTATTATAGGACTCCACCGCCATCCATCTATGAGTATAATTCTTGTGATTTAAGGCAGTATCGAGGCAATCTGCATAATATGTGCATATACTAATAAGAGACTAATCAATCGCAGTCCTAAAACATCAATGGGAAGAGTCAAACAAATAATACAAAAAATAAATTAAATTTCACTCCATTGCACAAGCACGTGACAATCAGGACTCAGTAGCTATGTGGATAACGCGATAGTGTTTGATGGGAACGAGACTAGATTTGAGTCCCCGGATGAACATCAACTCTGGGATATAGGTACACCCAAGTGACGAGTCCCAAAATAAGACGAAACGCGCGTCTCGTATTCCACTGCTAGCCACCATCCGTCTCTGTTTATTAAACATTACAGTTCACGAATTCCTTATTATCTAATTAATGATATGTAGTTGTTCTCAAAGTAACTGAATAAACTTATAAGTTACATATATTGTAGTTTAGTGTTTTTTTGCCTATCATCTGAAACGGAAACTAATAAATTTTCTGTACTTATTCCCTATATGTAAAAATCCTAATGTTTAACCAAAATAATAGCTCTACGTTTTAATAATAATAATAATAATATTAACTGAAACATACTACAAAAGGGAATTAGAACTAGCAAAGGATGAGAGGTTGGACGTATCGTTTTTGCACGCAAAGCTGAAGCTTGAGTTGATGGATTGTCAATGCCTCAACAGTGCACAAGATTTTGATTCAACTTTCCTTCGATCCAATTCCTTTGACTGTGTAGACTATTTTTTTTAAAAAGACTCCTTCGGAGTTGATTAAATGCTACTTATATTGAGCTGGTAATTGTCTTAACGTTCTCCTTTTAAAAGCCATGTCGGGTAGTGTTCTTAGATGCTTTTAGAAAGTGATCACTTTATGAAGCCAATGTAACCTGTCCCACATGAGCAAGTAAATTTATGGATGCGAATTGATATGGTCCAAAGTGGAAGTTTATCCTTAACCTATCGGTGAATAGTAGGTCAGTTTGAGAAAACAATACGAAGTTTAGCTGAATAGAATATTTTAATTAGGGTTTTGAAATCCGTTTATTCAAGATTTCAACACCTATAGCTTCTTCTTATTTCGATATTCATAAATGATTTTGTCGAAAAGAAAATTCTCTTCGTCAAATTCTCTTTATTTTTATTCATTTGAATTTGTTTCACTAAGTATCTACAGTAGTCAATTCATGATATAAAAATACTTCAATCGTTTAATCTGTTTGTTCCTTGTTCCAACCGGGACTATAATTTATGAACGAACCAATCAGAATTAAGATAGATGGTTTTGGATTTTAAAGCAGAATTCATCCACTCATCTGGCTAAATATTATTTCGGCATTATAGCTCATGTCAGTTGGTGATGGAAACCCTAAATCGAATTCCCAACTCTAAACATCAACTATGAACCAAAATTATAGGGTTGTTGAGATCATGAACCCATTGATCTTAAACCACCATTGAGAACCTGGAAGCACTGGAAGGCCGTTTCGTCCTATTGTGGGACTGCTCAGCAGTGCGCATCCATGACCCTGATCGTGGGTTTCGGACCCAGGGCTTCCAGTCTCGCGTGTGAATGCTTAACCTACTGGACCACTGAGCCGGCATCCAATGGTGTTAATGTCTAACCTTAACCGATCCACAAAGTTGCACGAACATCTTCCATTGTAATGAGGTAAGCACCTGTTTCTACTCGGCACGGATTAGCTCCACTGGTCACGGCTTTTCATCGGAACTCCGAGAATTTTCTCACGAAGCTAGTCACTAGTGAGCAGATGGTAATTATCAGTTTAGAGGTTGTGGCGATTGTAAAGTTCTTGATTGAGATTATGAACCGATTGATGTTAGACCACCATTGAAAACCTGGAAGCATTGGACGGCCATTTCGTCACATTGCAGGACTCTTTAGCAGCGAGCATCCATAATCCCACTTGCAGGATTCGAACCCAGAGCTTTCAGTTTCGCGTGCGAACGCTCAACCTACTAGACCACTGATTCGGCATCCAACGGTGTTGATGATCGCACAATTTCGTGGATTGGTTGAGATTAGACATTAATACCTTTGGATGCTAGCTCAATGGTCTAAAGGTTATGCGTTCGCACGCTAGACCGAAGGCCCTGAGTTCGAATCCCTTGAGAGGGATCGTGAATGTGCACTGCTGAGAAGTCCTATACTAGGATGAAACGGTCGTCCAGTGCTTTCAGATTTTCAATGGCGGTCTAACACCAATTGCTTTATGATCTCAATCAACATTATAATTCCTCACACTGATTTATAACCGTCATTTATTCCTAATACGTGGGTGGATATTTTCAAGGTCATTTTAACATTTGCTCAAATATCGTCCATAAATTACAATCTGACCAATAATATCCATGTTAATAATAACTACCGATACATTTTGAAACAGTTGATGAGACTAATAAAAAAAAGCAGGTTAACTCAATTCTCATTGGTTACTTACCTTTATTTTATTGATTTTTCCTAATATTATTTTCATTGAGATAACAATAAAATTAACCAATCAGAATAAAGAGTTTGTACTATTTTTCATACGACCAATATATCAATGAAGAAGAAGAAGAAGAAGAAGAAGAAGAAGATAAAAGGTAACATTCAGTAAGGATCATTTACAATTCATGAGTATCCATGACATTGTGATTATAAATGGATCATTATCATCTTGATTATTATTATTACCAAGATTATAAGTACTAGAAGTACTTGGAAAAAAAAGGATCATAAATGAATTTAATTTCAATATTTTCTTACATAATTGATGATTATTAATCAATAAATAGAGCAAATATGTATTTCAATCTCTTCATTAATCTCTTATTTACATGGAAGTATATAACATGTATAATATATGATTTTCAAAGATATCCATTTTCAAATGATGATGAATTTCAAAATGAGGTATGTTAACATGATATCGATTATATTAATTGTAATAGTAATGATAATAATATTATTATATACCCTGATCGAATCTTTAGGTGATCCATCATTCCCATTGTGTATAATATAATGATTCTTATCGTTTTAGATTTATTTTAACGGATTGGGTTATAGATGTAAATTGTATAATATGCTGTCATACGTTTATGAAACGCTTATGACTATTTAGGATTTTGAATTCTGTAAAGCCTCGAGTGCACAAACCATGGACAAGGATATAAGTCTGTCTTTGTATATCTATATGATAAACGAGAGGTGTTTAAACACACACACACACACACATTCTCTCTCTCCCTATATATATAGACCGGTGTCAGGCAAGGTTGCTTACTCTCACCCTTTTTCTTTCTCCTGGTGACCGACTGGATCATGAAGACGTCAACATCTGAAGGGAAGCACGTGATATAGTGGACATCTAGGATGCAGTTGGACGATCTAGACTTCGCAAATGATCTGGCTCTTCTATCGTGAACGCAACAACAAATGCAGGAGAAGACGACCAGTGTAACAGCAGTCTCAGCAACAGTAGGTTTCAACATACACAAAGGGAAAAGCAAGATTCTCCGATACAACACAGAATGCACCAATCCAATCACAATTGACGGAGAAGATTTGGAAGATGTAAAAACCTTTACGTATTTGGGCAGCATCATTGATGAACACGGTGCATCTGATGCAGATGTGAAGGCGTGGATCGGCAAAGCAAGAGCAGCATATTTACAACTGAGGAACATCTGGAACTCAAAGCAACTGTCAACCAACACCAAGGTCAGGATTTTCAATACAAATGTCAAGACAGTTCTACTGTATGGGGCAGAAACCTGGAGAACTACGAAAGTCATCATCCAGAAAATACAGGTGTTTATTAACAGTTGTCTACGCAAAATACTTCGGATCCGTTGGCCGGACAGTATTAGCAACAACCAACTGAGGGAAAGGACAAACCAGATCCCAGCGGGGGAAGAATTCAAGAAGAGGCGCTGGAAGTGGATAGGACACACATTGAGGAAAACACCCAACCGCGTCACAAGACTGGCCCTCTTAATTTAGTCAAATTCATAAATGCGAAAAATTGTAATGGAAGTTTATAGCAAAACAGAAAACAGCTTCTTCAAGTGGATTTTTTATAGAGAAAATAACAGTAATGCAAATAATGAACCGATTTCACGTAATTAATTAATCCATTACTAAAGTCTTCTACAGGTTACTCTGTCTGTATGTCCTAAAAAAACTAACGACATGTGAACTCGTCTTTATGGATTTAGATTATTTTATTTTCTTGAACCCCTTAAAAAGAGCCAAACAGGCTTTTAAAAGTCTTCAGGATTAGAGTTTTCATTACAAATTGACAATACAGATATGGTCTGTACCTATATGGATAAATGAATTTTCATTGGAAATATATAAGAAGCATTACTTGATTAGTTCAACCATAAATTCAATTATTCACAAAATTTTGAGCCATATAAAAAAGATATTTCTGTTGCTCACTCTAAATGACATTCAACTTTCGCCCAAATCTCTGAAAGTTACATTCTCAATTCTAAATGACTAGCAAATAAAGTGTAATTCTGCTAAACTTTCTTGTTTGAAATTGAGCTACGCCGGCAACTTAAAACACAAACTTACACAGTTACTTGGTAAAATAGAAAAACCATATGGGAAATCGTTAATTTGCAAAATATTAATCCATCATATCAAAGCGGACTTTTCGTGTTGCAATCATCAATCCATTGTCTCACATTTCATTGTTCATGCGTTTTCTCACAAATTGCATTGTGTTCCCGCTCTTCCTTTCTTGATCTTCCCCCATCTTCTGCTGCTAGACATTACGTTTTTAACTCGCGTCATATACTACTTACATCAATTTAAGTAGCGCGCACCACACCGTCACAGTTAATAAATGTCTGTATTATACTTTAACTAGTTGGGGAATATGATGTTCAACAATGTATAATATGTTAATCCATCTCTGTTGCTCAGTGACATATCTGATGAACTGATGATCACTTTTATGTTTCAGATTCCTATTAGTTACACAAGATTGTAATATACAGTGATACAGTCGACTGATAACTGAGTAGCTCGTCTAGTCTTTTTAGTGCTGATTGAATTTTGTCGGTTACGTTGCAATATGATCACTCGTTTAGGTGACTTGACATGGAACAAACTATCCTGAATGCTTGAAATGCTTAGACCTTTCCCCCATATCGTAGAGTGAGAGATGACCTTGTGTTGGCATTTATTATCTTAAATAATGATTTGAGTGTTAAGATGTCTTGTCTTTTTGATCTTTCCGGAACCAATCATATTCGAGGCCATGGTAAGAATGTTCAAAAACCGTGATCAAATAAATGCAGAGTGTGGAATTGCGATTTTCTTATCGAATGGTCGATGACTGGAACGTCCTAACCGAACGAGTGGTATAAGCTTCATTAGGAAATACCTTTAAGGAGAAGCTAGATCTTCAATGGAAAACAAGCTGCAACGATTAACACAGGCCAATATAAATACTATCCTTATTACTGAAGACTGAGGTGTAGGGTGATTGGATATAGAATACAGCATACAGAAGTATACAATAATTACTTACATATAGCGTTTATTTTCAGTCTTGATAATTCATTTGTTAATTAAAAAATTACTTTATTCTTACAGGGTATATGTAAGTGGCAATTTGCCATATTGAACATGCACTAAGTCAACTATTCAGTAGTTCTGTTTCCCTTAAATTTGCCCATTTAGAACTTTAGAATCAATAGCATAATTAAACCAAATTGATTGTACTATCATGAAAATTCCATGCAAACACTATCATTGAAGTAGTCCATCACATATTCATAATTATCAGGGTAAATTACTAATTCAAATAATAACAGTTCTGGCGGTTGATTTGGATTTAATATTGAATTCGATGATGTTGTTTTCTATGCTTCTACAAAATAGATTTAAGTTGTGCTTGGGATATTGACATGCATGCATTTTTCTTGCAGAGTCGAAAATTTATTGCCAAAATATTGTTGAACTAACTCGTCATCAGAAAATTTATTGTGTCATCCTAGTCTGACATCAATATACATGAGCTTCACGAGTTATTTCAATGAGAAAATTCAGGGTGAGTAGGAAGCTTCTGTTGGCTAACTCAAATCGAGAACATATACACAAGCTCATTTATAAATAGATATCCGTCCCCCTCAGAAAATTGGACTGAAGTTTCAACCAGTACTGTTTCATCTGTTTCCTCAGAAAGTTATGTCAAGTACTGACCAGTAAATGTGTACCCGTTAACATATATCTCTTATCATTTGGCCTACAATTGATATGTCTGATTGATCTAGGCTATCAATTATATAAGACTTAAAAAGTATTGTATTGTTAAGTAGTGAAAAATACAGACTGAAAAATCAAATTACCTGAAATTTTTCTTCTTATCGATCCTCTTTAAAAAAAATTATGGTTGAATATATTGGAATTCATAAACCTTATACAGGGATAAAGTGTTCTTCTTTTTTCATAAATAACTGGAATTTGAATAAACATTGAATAAAAGTCTGTTGAAATGTTGTACAATCGATGGTGAGAGCGCCATAATGTAATGGAATCATTTTGTTTCAATATAACATACCAAAAGTTCTTTGAAAAAGTGTGTTTCTAGTTGATAACTTACGCTTGTTACTCCTCGTCAAGGAGCATAGGCCGCCCACCAACATTCTCCACCCAACCCCGTCCTGGGCAATCCTTTCCAGCCCTATCCAGTTGTTATTCATCTTTTTCATACCTGATTTTATTTCCCGATGTAATGTGTTCTTTGGCCTTCCTCTTTTCCGCTTCCCTTCAGGATTCCAAGTTAGGGCTTGCCTCGTGATGTAGTTTGGTGATTTCGGTAATGTATGTCCTATCCATTTCTATCGTCTTCTCCTAATTTCGTTTTCAGCTGGAAGCTGGTTTGTCCTCTCCCACAGAAGGTTGTTGCCGATGATGTCCGACCAATGGATGGCCGGATACCATTAGCCAATAATTACTTTAAAACAGTTTATGTAGCAACGGATATTATAGCTCAGAATAATCTAGCATTCTGTGACAAATTATTTTTTCTTCAGTAATAAAAAATACGGGTAATGTAGAAACTATTAACATCACAAACCGACTTATGATAAGGAGTGAAAACCACGAAGCACTGAAGAGCTATTTGGTTCTAGTATAAGATGCAACAATACACATTCACCACCCTACCGGAAATCAAACCCAAGGTGTTTGATCACTTATGAATCTTGAAATTCTAGATCAATAAACCGGAATCTATTGGTGTATACGTCTAACTTTAGTTAATTCATAGTATTGCATGACCACCTTACATTGTCTTCGGTAAGTAACTGTCTTACGCCCGATATGGTTGAACTTAACTGGTTATGGATTATCACTAGAATTCTATCTCTTGAAATTTCCAACTGTACATTATTTTAAATGATAGTCGTCAAAAGCGTAGAAATTAACTATTTTTTTAAATTTTTGTATATTTTATCTCTAGTTAATTAGACAAAACGATTTCTTTATTGGCTTTAATGAATCCTGGCCATTAAGAAATGTGAACGACTATTTAGGGGTGGTATCCTCTGTTAAAGCAACGGATCAATCCGCTTCAAATGTTTATGTTTTACATCGTGGTGATCGAGTATGGGATCAAAAGTAAGCTAGTTAGTAATATGTTAATGGGGGAAAATGGGTTGTTTAGCGTTTTGTTTTCAGAAAGTGAAACTCCACCCTAAAAATATCTTATCATTGGTCAAGCGTAATCTAGGAACAGTGTATTGTAATTATTATTATCGACAGTTATTATGAAATTCGTTCAACAATTAGCGTACCAAAACAGTAATGAAAATAATAATTGATATAATTAAACCAAGAAATTTGAATATCCAACTCTTATGTTCATTGCTGATATTGATCTTAATTGGTATTATTACTCAAAGTGACTGGTTAACATGAACTGAGTAGATCTGACCATAGCAAATAAACACTGGTGAATAGATGAAGATTTTTTAAACACACACTAAGTGTGACAACTGAAATGCCAATATTCGGTTTGAATACAGAGCTAACGAACCGAAATTTATTCGATTAAACGAGACTATGTTCTTTTGTATAGCGTACGAAGCATTTTTGAGTTACTCGTATTAAATTATATCAAAATACAAACTCTGTGCTCAATTTAAACGGTTCTAATTTAAGAAATAAAACAAATTATATCAAAAATACAAAATACCTCAAACGGTACAGCTTGTGTTATTCAGTCAAGGTTTTCTCTAACACAAATTAGCGTGCTGAACAACAAAAGAGTTCAGTACATGAGAATCAATAAAAATATTCCCAACAAGATGAGAACACATATCTATCTGCAGGGATTCTAGCAATCCTCCCATGCAGAAAGTCAAAAGGTTGACAGTTACACACTAAACCACGCCGTGACCTTGAGCTTAATTAAACACAACCTTATTGTCAATAGTCGGGCAACATGCAATAGAAAAATTAGGTAACAAAAGATAAGTCTGTAATCAAAATCACACAATAAAAGCTCAGATGAAGAAGACTGAAGAACACAAAGTGTGGTTGAAAGAGATTTGAACAGAGATTAAAATACACAACAGAGAGAAGAAACAAATAGATGACAGTAGTGTCCAACAAAAATGCTGTGGAGGGATTTTCAACATTTTCTTCCCGTTACACTTAGAACAAGTCAATTTACACTGACGAAACATTGAATTTCGAATTGGTTATAAGTGTGTAACATGTGTCGAAGAACAATCAGTATCTTCTAATATATTTGACCACAGTTCACGCACATTAAAATGTTACGACTGACCTATTGAGTGATAAACTTAGGCTTTCTTAACATTTATTTACTTGAACACATAATAAATAGGCCTTCTACTGAAGATTGACTTGAAGAGTTATTGAATCAGTCTTCGTAACATTAAAATTTCTTATCTATAGTTTGAATGTCAATAGTTTTAATGATCATAGGAATTCTTGAATTTGTTGTATTCAAAAATCTCTATTTTTAAGCAAGTAACTATGCATTACACTTTGTGTTCTTAAGAATCATTCGATTTCCATTGACTCATAAGGAAACTAATCTTTCTTAATCATAATATAATACACCCAGTGTTGATTTTGTAACATACTAAACAGTTAGGCAAGATATAATTATGGTGGAGTTTTGTTCTCTGATTGGATGGTTTGGTTGCGGAGCTTTCATCATTATTCTGAACGATATCATCAGCACAAACTTCAAGTAATAGTGAATCGTTCGAATTTCTCCACATATGACTCAAATCAATGGAAGATACAATCAAAATAAAGAAGTAAACAACGACCGGTTAAAGGTCAACAATAACCAATCAAGATCAAGGTCTACAGGACAAGCTGGAAGTCATTTGTAGGAAAATTCGAACAATTCACTATTACTTGAAGTTTGTGCTGATGATATTGTTCAGAAGAACGATGAAAGCTCCACAACCAAACCATCCAATTTAGTGAACAAAATTGCACCAAAACATCCACCTGAGCTACAAATCTCAAGATAAAGATTTACGATTATCCATAACATGCAATGATCATAACTTCAAGTATTTAAACTATAGAGGTAAGTGTTCTTTAAAATTTCATGTTTACTTAAAATAGGCTTGATGATCAATGAACTTCATTGTTCGTAACTTCTCAGTGAAACATCGAAATCCATTTGGAAGTTACTCGTTAGAGATTATTATTAACATTTGCATTAGTATTATTAATATTATTATCAAACTAAGGAAACTGTGGAATTTTTGGAACTGAGAGAAAATACTTGTCCATTATTTATTGATTTCAACGGTTGAATGTACCTATAACTTGCCTAATGTATTCTCCCTCAAGAGATCCACATAGGCCAATAAAGACTGATAAATTGCTATTCCGAACCTTAATAAATGCGAAAATATAACCCCCTGCATATGTAACTTCGTACCAATTCAACAATTTAGTGGCTAACTGAACTAAATAGCCTAAAGGAAACAACATTAGAGGACAGAACACCTATACTGGATTTCACTGTCATCTACAGTTCAAATCTGAAAAAAACTTCGATGCATTAAGGCTATCCTCGAGCCAAACTCTTCAGGAAAAATAAATCTTTATAGAGAATGAACAATTTTGATACCGAATATTGACAACAAAAAACTACAAATCTTTACGAAAAGAATATCACCGTTGGGAATTTTTTCATCTCTGTCTTTTATTTTATTTATAGTACATTTGATGATCGAGATAATTACCGTCTCAATAAGTCTGAACCTATACAAAAAGGAGTTTTAGTACAAATCTTTAATGGAGAGATTAAAAGAACTTATTTTCCTTTCAAGTAAGTAATATTTTCTGTCCTACCACGATATAATACTATAATATGATGATAAAAGCCTGGTATGAAACTATGCTAAAACTTGACCGGATACTCGATAGATAGGCTATTCTCAGAGATTGAAATCACCATGTACCAGATTTGTGATCCGTGACTAGATATAGAGTACTAGATTATTAGGCTAAACAGTACTCGATTCAACAGAATTGTAGTCAGTCTTGACTCAGTGAAGATTAGAGTAGAAATCAATAATAAAAAGGCAATCACATATTTACTAGTTGGTAAGTTAAGTGTCTGTTTGTCTTCACTTATGAGTCAAACACATCATAATGTCACTGACCATGCAGCAGTATGTATATATCAAGAAACGAACTATTTTCTTAACAATGGTTTGCAATTATTTTTGAAGGTAGGAAATAAACAGTACGAGGGTCGACAGTGAGTTATCTTCTCATATCCAACAGATAAACTTATAATACTGATAGAGCAACGATTTTAAATTACAATTTGAGATCAAGGAAATACAAGTAGTGTTGAATGTCGAAATGTATCTGTATATTGTGGAACTTAGGTATTTTGTCAAAATGTTTAATATAGTTATGGTGAGACTATAATTTATGGATGAACCAGTCAGATTTACGATAACAGGTCTTGAATTTTGGCGCGAAATTAATTAATTCATTCGGCTAAATAGAGTTTTGGCATTATAGCTGATTTCAGTTCGTTATTAAAACCCTATTATCTGATTCCTAACCGTAACTGTCAACTGTAAATATTAATCCTAATTTCTCATACTGGTTCATAACCCTCATTTAGCCGTAGTATGTAGGTGGACATTCTCAAAGTCTCTTTAGCGTCACTCAAAGGTTGTCCATAAATTATAGTCTCACCATAAAATCTATTACTTATTCATGAGAAATAATAGGATTATGTGTTGGTTTTCAATTCACCAATAATTAATCAAGACTGAAGGTCAAGGTAAGGATGGAAAATCAATTGATGAAGTAGTGAAACTTCATCAGTTGAGATGGCTGGGATACGTGTTACGTATGTCCAACCACCGACTGCCTCGGCGTGCGATGTTCAGTGGTATAGGAGTAGGTTGGAAGGAAGCTAGGGGCGGCTAGACCAAAACATGGCACAAGTCCATGAAGTCACTGACAAGTGGACTGAGACATGTTGGTAGGTGTAGACTACCTGGTTGGGGACCGCGAGATGATAGCAACCGATGGTTAGAGACCCTGAATGACATGGCTCAAAATCGTTTGCAATGGCGCAAGTGCATCCACTCTTAATGTTCTCCCAAATTCTAATCTTCTGAATTCTTCATATCCCTTTACTTGTTCTCTTTCCAAATTTATTTCACTGGATTATACTCCTTGAATAACATGTTCAAACCCTAATCTTTCCGATTACTGCTTATACTCTTACCGCCTCTATCACTACGGGATTTGAATCGACAACTGTACCTTTGTGCTAATGTGGTATGGCAACTCGAACCGATGTACGTACGTACGAAGTTCTACGTTGTTACTGACTGACTGAAGATTAAGGTCACAAACCAACCAATAACTATTCAGTTCAGCATTTCATAACAAATACTTCAACAATTTCTCATTGATAATTGATTAGAATAAAGCAATAACATTTATTCTTGATCTAACTCAGCCAAATACATAGAATGAATATGTCTTAAGTTTTAAAATAAGTATTCATTATCAACTGCAAAATGATGTGTTATTTGTTGTTGTCTCTTTTACCCAAAAAAATAAAGATTCTTCCTTCCTCATGGGCTTACAATAGATCCAGATGGAAATTTCTGGATTACAGATATAGCTTTACATCAAGTAAGTTTGACACAATCAACTAAATATTATAAAATGGAACTGTTTTTTCTATATGTAGTTAACTCATGTGCTAATTTTTTATGGCTAAGCTTTAATGATAACAATAATAGCTATCATTACTATTGTCATAACTTGTGCCCTATGCCCTATTAATGTATAACGTAATGATACCATCAATTAGAGAACAGTGAATTATCGATTCGACCAATGATACATAAAACATGTAAGAGCAGTCTAGAGTCCTCACCGATCCTGCTTCCCGCCTAGCCCTCCCTGTTAAGTCCAATACACCAATCTCAGCTCCCGCGCTATGAATCATTTATTTCAAACACACCAGACAGACCACATCGTACTATAAAATAGGAAACAACATTTGTACAAGAATTAACCAAATGTGGTTGTGAATGAGGGAGATAATGATTGGTAGACTGGGCATAACTTAAGAACAGTAATCGTATAATAATAGTCTATGGATCAAAATAAAGCTCATAATAACAGGGACATGAATATGAACAGTTTAGTTGTTTAAAAATTATACAATAAAAATATACGTGCAGTATTAGTTCAGAAATAGATCTCAACAGTTACCATTCATTATTCGTATTGGGATATAATATTTATTGTTTGGTGAATTAACAAACTTGAAAAATAAACTATTTAATCAGGGTTCAATGTATAGTTTTTAACTGTACATAATAGTACCTCTTTCTTAAACTACTCAATGGAGTGTTTTTTTTTTAATGCAATTGACATAACCGAAAATGATCATGGATCATTCTCGTGTTATGTATATATGACGAAAAAGTTATATTGGCATAGTAGAAAAAAGTATACTATAGACCAGCTGAAGATTAATCAAATTAGTTATACTGAAAACTTGAAGCAGTTGTGTTAAAAATACAAATTGCGCTTTAAATAGTTCGGTCTGAAAACATGGGTGTGTTAACTAGTCCACAAACACACACAAACTTTATGGTTCGAAGCTAATAACGAAATTGCATGACATTTTGTCATTTGTACAAATGTACACAGGAAACTATGATCCTGAATTAAATTGGAAACTTATGACAAAATTTTGGATCGAGGTGTTTTTAAGAATTACTGAGAACATGTATAACCAGAGTAATTGGTTCAGTTTTGTTATATCTAGAGCTTATATTCTTGCTATACGACGCACAGCTTGAGCATTCGAACACTAGAACTCTCCAAGTCGAAGGTTGGAAGACAGCAGATGAGTGAGGAATCTTATTCCAGTGTCAAATATAATACAAAACACTAAGGTATTTATATCTTTTTAGTGAGAACGAAATCATTATTACAGTCTTCTAATCCGCATGCAGTGGCTCTTAGCATTTGTTCAATCGGGAAGCTACACGTCGATATTCTGGAACATTCTTCCAAAAGATGATTGGATGGAATGCATTCAGCTCCTTCTGAGCTTCCTTGAGTTCACCGGGGGCTGTCCCCACAAATGTGTAATAAGTGGACATATTAGCCTTGATCCGATCTATAGTCCTATATTTAATAAGATGACTCAATTGCGTGATCAGACGTCGAATAATCAAACTAGTCAACTAGAATCTGAAAGCACATGGAGAAAATAAGATGTAACAATAACCAGTCACAGACAATGCCCTCAGGACCAACTGATTTAGCGCTTTTGGAAAAAGTTCAGTTCTGCTTCAAGTTAACATTAATGTTTATAAACACTGCACATGTCATGATATATCAGATTCAACACTGTTTAAATGTAACCAGTCACATATGACTATCAATTAGATTATAAATAACTATCGTCGTTGATTATCAATAGTTATCCTCATCGAAATTTTGCCATTGATTCAGTAACGCACGAAAGGTCAGTTGAAATCAAAAGCTGTTTTGGCTTTTCAGAAATATCAATATGTATGGAAAAATAAAATAATCGATAGTTCTACAGTAAATCATGGTTTGTTTACATTAAACTCACTTGCAAGGTGATGAACACAACCACAATCTACCCTCAAAGCAATCAAGAATAACAGCAACAGACTAAAAATGGTGTAAACAAAATGTTTTAACTAATAGGGGAACAGTTAGTTGACAGGACTATAATTAATGGACGAACCAATGGGATTTGAGAGTAGATTTGGGATTCTTGGAGCAAATTCACCTATAACATTCCAACAATCTAGCTGATGTCGTTTCGTGATGAAAAACTTAACTCTATTTCTTAGCTTCAACTTTTAATCCTAACTGTTAATTCTATTCCCCCCCCCCACATTCATTACCTTATTAAGAACCTATTTAAGACTCTCTCAGTTAGTTATTCAATAGTTAATTTAAGCAGTAAAACGAGCCAAGAAAAAATACACTAACTAGTCCTAAGTATAAATTCACTTGGTGTTGTTTTACTTGTATCTTCCCACTGGGATGCAGGTACATCCAGCTGACGAGTCCCAAATAGGACGAAACGCGCGTCCTGGATTCCACTGCTAGCCACTATCCATCTTTACTCCTGAGTATATTTAAAATACAAGAATCTTACGACCTGAATAATTTTTGTTTCTATACATAAGGTTTTTAAATTCTCATCAAATTTATCAAGTGAACCACTATTAACACTTGGTGAACGTTTTAAACCTGGTTCAAGTGAAAATCAATTTTGTAAACCAACGGACGTAGTAGTTTCTTCAAATGGACAAGTTTTTATCTCTGATGGGTAAATAAATCTAGTTATATTTTACCCTTTATAAATGTGTTTTTTTCTTTAATGAAAAACAATTGTCTGGTACCTTGGATATAGATTTTTAAAACACTCAATTTAGTTTTCATTTAGTCAACTACATAGAGTCACAAGTACTTTCTCTACAGATACACACACACACAATACAATGTGGTACCAAGTCGAATACAAGACATTGCACTTAGTTGACTACTGAATTGCATTCAAATAGACTAGATAAATTTATTGAAATTTAAACCGAGTGTGAACAACAATCGTAGTGAGCTAGTACGAATTTTGTAGTATATCTCAAAACTAAGTTGTAAATTTTCGATTAACATTTTATATGTCACTGCCCTTGATAAAAACTACTCTTGTTTTGATCATCCCTCTCCTAACCACGAAGAGAGAAGCTCACTAAATTGTTGTATTAAATGTCTGGTTGTACGCCCAATATAGCTTTCTCCACAGGAGCAACTGGAGTCGTAGATACATATGGAAGTGGAAAAACACGGTAACTTATACTTTGGTTGAAGAATAACCATAAGTCATATCAGAAGTGATAGACAGGGGTTATCGGCATCAAATGGCCTGTTCATTGGTTTATTTAGTTTACCTTGTTAGTACATCACTAGCAATATCTCCATTGAACTGTAGCTTTAGGAAGAGAGGTTTCTTACTATCTGTTTATGCCTCTATCTTCTTGTTCACTTTATGCAATTGTTTCTTCAAAAACCATGTGGATAACCCATATCAATTAACACTCTACGTATGAGCTCTAGTTTCTTGTTTATGGTGAGCCAGTGAGTTGGCGAACACCTTCCTTGGTCATAATCAAAACAATACGTTGCTCTGTTCTATCGTACTTGATCGATAGTGATCATGTAATAGATGGGAACAAATAATTTAAAAACGGCTTTTGTTTATATACATCGTAGTAAAATTTAAGTTTTTGAATTTCTTGTTAACTATCCATCTATTCTATCTACCGTATTGCTTTGATTTGTGTATGTGTTAGCTGTAATCGTTGGTCTAATCTGTTGAATATGAGGATAGATTAAATTTCAAATCAACAGTCTCTGACTACTGAAATATTTATATGAATTCATGACTTTCAAATTCCATTTGGCACTAAGACTCTGCAAACTACTTTTTTCAATTATGACCCCAACTTATTACAAGTATAAATAAAATATATTTAACAATCAAATAAACGTAAACTTATTAAGCTAATCAGTTGAAGTGAAACGCAAAATACCGATTCGGCAGCTTGAAGGTTATTGACTGGTTGAAAGACCTAAACATCTTGATCTCAATTTCCTGGTGAATTCATGGGTATCCACCACTGTGGGATCTCGTTTTAAGATGAAAGAAACATTCAATGCTTCTTAGTTTTCAGTGGTTATCTAATTAAGGTCAGTTTGTGATGCGTGCTTTTTTTTCAAAAAACTCCAAGGATTTCATACAAGCTGTTTTTCTAGTTCTCTAAAGTGAACTTTTTTTATAAAAAAAAAGATTTCACAGGTTGAAATCATGAGCCAGTTGAAGCTAGACCACCATGGAAAACCTGGGAGCACTGGACGGCCGTTTCGTCCTGGTATGGGACGCCTCAGCAGTGCGCATCCACGATCCCGCACCACGCGGGGCTCGAACCCAGGACCTACTGGCTTCGCGCGCGAGCACTTAACCACTAGGCCACTGACCCGGCATCGGACGGTGTTAATGTCTAACTTCAACCAATCCAATGGTGGTCTAGCTTCAACTGCCTCATGATTTCAACCTGTGAAATTTCTAAAACTCTCCACAAAACCCATTCTGATAAAAAAAGATTCTTTTACTTTATCTTACACAACATACAACAGGAAGAAACGACCGTCTAGTGCTTCCAGGTTTTCCACGGTGGTCTAGCTTCAATTGACTCATGATATCAACTATTGAAATGACTACAATATCCACGAAACCCCTTCTGATATTTTAAATTTACCAACCTTTATTAGGTATTGCAATAATCGCATTGTGAAATTTAATGAAAATGGAGAATTTCTAAAATCATGGGGCTACGAAACAAAAGGTAATTGAAACTATTATTTTCATTGTAAATATCCCTCATGAAAAAAAAGTAATATTTCCAATAAAAACGATCGATCATATCGGTACGTTGTTTCCTAACGGAGCTTGATCATGTCTACTATATTATAACAGAAGCTAAAAGGATTTGAATCTATAGCCTAATCCATGTATTCAGAAGAACTGTCATCACTTTTTGTTTATTATGGTTTAGTTACGTAATTTCTAAAACTATATTATGGTGACGAACGTCAGACGACCAATCAGATTCGAAACAGTATCTATACACTTTGCGCAACATTCAAAACGTAGTGAAGAATAAGATGTATCTTATAATATATATATAACTTGTTCATAATTAGTTTTAAATAATATGTCTTGCTACCGGTACGTTTAAACTGCCTTCCTAGCCAGTCCCAATATTTACAACTACTCTCACATGTTAACTGGAATGCTAAAGGGAAGGCGAGAAGTATGAAAAGAACGCTTTACTCAAAGGTTTGTTTATTTACAGAAAACAAGAGTATTTATAGTTACATACCGCCTTGAGCTTCACTAATTTCCGAAACTACACTAAATATAGTAATAGAAAAAGGTAAATACCCAATCAAAACTGTAGCACGTGATTCTGCATTTTCTAGATGTTTACACAAAGATACTATTCAACGTTGATTGAATAAAACGTTTCTTGATGATCATGGGCCTCCTGGGTATTTTTGAGACTTTAACATTACAGTTTTAATCCCCAATAATCGTTTATACTCAACCACACAATCATTTAGACATGATGCGTAAGCTAAATTGATAGAAATACTCATCTGAGTGTCTATGATATGATTCATGGACTAGTTCAGCATGTTTTTGTGGGATTATGAAGTAGTCTCAAATGCTCACTTCATATTCTAACCATAGTACTGAGTACTATAACTCTCCTGACCCTTTTAATCCTAAACCTAACACTAAACCTTAACACTTCTAAAAGCTCACCCCCAACTCTGATTCTTGACTTTAACCGGACACCTAATCATTAACATCTAACTTTTCTTTCCTTAATTATGTTTGGAGTATTTATCTACCATAAATTTCTCATATTCCACCATAAGTTTCATCGTATCCAAACATTGTCCCCTAGTGACTCAGTAGGTTAAGCGTTCACGCGCGAGACTGAAGGCCCTGGGTTCGAAACCCACGATCGGGATCGTGGATGCGGTTCATGATCTCAATCAAAAACTTAATGATCTCCACAACCCCTATACTACTGCTTTAAATTTTAATGTATCATCATCCATTGGGGTGCTTATTTCTAATACCAACTAACTTTTTCAAATAGTTTGAAGTTATACAAGTAAGGATTTACATTTTCCCGCGAATTATCAGTCTCTCGGAGACTATGTGGATTTCACCTCGTCCAGCTTAAATCTCAGTGTGAACATCAATACTAGTGTACACTGATGTACATCAAGCTGACATGCAAATCATTTAATTATACTTTGAATGACTGAATTGTGTTTTTAATTCTAATGGGATATTGGAGTTTAAGTTTAAGGTTCACTGTGTAAATTTCCGAGAAATTTTAAATTACCATAAAAGTGTATAAGAAGGTTGGAGAGATTGTTGAATTTGATAGTTTCTATCACGGATTCACTCTAGTCAAACAACCATTAGCACTCAAGAAGCACTATACAGGTGCTCTGTCCTAGTAATCCATAGAAACTCTTCCAATAGGGATTAAACCTAGGGTCTTTAAAGTCACTCTACGAGCGCTTAACATTTAAGTTACTGAGTCCGCATCCATTGGTTTAAATTAAAACTTCAGTCGATCCGTGATATTCAGAAATTATCTCCTAGTTAAGGTCATTTCATAGTTTTGATTGGTTAACATAGTTTTTCAATTCATGACGTTTTAAGATAATTTCTTGACGAAAAAGTGACATTTATGCTTACGTTGAATCTTTTCACTGTTCATGATGATATCCAGCTTAACAGTGAGACTAATTTTTGTTCAGGTTCAAAAAGCAGTTGCATTGTGTATAGAAAACATGATAGACGATGCTTTTCTGTTTTCGTAATTCTAATTTGAAGCTGTAAGCAGCAGTGTAGTTCAATAAGATCAGAAATTTGTATGGATAGCCCTGATGACAGTGGATAATAATTGCACGATATAGCGAATGCATTAAAGCTGGGAATACGAAACATTGAGGTACAATTCAATGATCGAAATGGTAAATTACTCAAGATAAAGATTCGCTTGTCTACTGGAGGGTGATTCTAAATCAGGAAAAAGCGATTGTGCCCCAGTGATCTTTGATTATCAATAATAACTTAGATGTGATCACTTCATGAAAAGAAGATCTTCAAGAAGCATCCTATCTGTGGCTACTCATTATTAATTCAGTAGTGTATAATTCTTTATGTAATTTACGGATGTTGTAATTTTTTAAATATTTTTGAAAGATTCAGAATCTCCAGGACCATATGATTTAAATATTCCTCATCAGTTATCTTTATTGGAAGAAGAAGATGCAATATGTGTGGCAGACAGAGAAAACAAACGTATTGTATGCTACATAGCTGGTTTATATTCGACAACATCAGATAGTACCGGTGATTATCTATTTGAGTACAAACAACCAGAGATGAGAGCAATCTATGGCATCGCCATTGAACCTTCAAGTGTGTTATTATCTTGAATCTTTTTCACATGTTCTATAATTGAATCATTAGATATATTCCATTAACTTAAATACGGTTAACGCTTTGTAGACTACTGGACTTGATTTTGACCAGTGACACTTATACCGACGATAAATAATCTCGTGTAATGACTGAGAGAATTCATATGGTTGTTAGTCTATAAAGTAACTTCCCTCTAACCCGGTATCGAGTTATGAAGCAAACTTAGAAAGAAGATAAGACTCCCATTACATATTTATCCATTGCAACTGAAAGCTCACGTTGTAATATCGGTTAAATACAAGGTATATATTATTCATTTATTTATTTTAACACATAGAGATTGGTACAATGAGGCACCAAATACACATGCGCCACACAAATCTCATTCGATATGTGTGAGGGCTGTGATACTGCCCGGGTGCCCAAACCGAAGCAGGTGGTTTTCGTAGGGGGCCACACCCCGAGCCTTCGACCTAAAGGTCTGATCCACAAGGCAGTGGAGCATCGTAGGGAGATGCAGTCCCATGGAAGCCGGTGGCCAACAATTGGTTCATACGCCGTTTGTTTCCGCAGGATACTGGAGCCCATGTGCACCATTGGTTTGGAGTCTGGTTAAAGCACCGGACATTCGCTTTTCGTCCTCTCATTTCCGTAAACAACACACCTGCCACGAGAAGTCAGTGTATAGGACTTCCCTGGCAGAGGCTGTATACGCGTGGCCATGTGAGAGCATTTGGAGAGGGAGAGCGGACTCTCCCCACTCTCGGCCGTACCAGGGCATTTGGGGGCAATTTATGGAAAGTAAAACATGAGAGTAGTTTACGCGTCAACTGAAATCCTACGATATAGGGAATACAACAATACAATAATCTAGGTATTTAATAGTTGTTTAATAAAAGTATGAATAATCATTTTCGATGAAATCATTTGCTTAAGCTGAACATTCGTATTTATAGTTGTTTAGTAAATATGTGTCTATGGAACGATAGAAAAGACTGAATCATGATCTGGTTCAGTGGACAGTTATCTGTCATAATTCTGACCCGTAAATTTTTCTCATCCTCCCATTTTTCTCTAATCACCTGATTATTACACATCCCCATTTGGCATCCGAAATCTCGAATCAGTTTATGTTGCAATCTTTGTTATCTAGGATTGATAATTATAAGCAAAGATAGATGGTGCCTAGCAGTAGGGTGGAGGACGCGAGTTTCGTCTTATTTAGGGCTCATCCAGGAGTGAACATCAACTCCAGGATGCATCCATCTAAAGATGAGTCTCAAATAGGACGAAACGTGTCACGATTTGATCGGTACACAATCTAACTTCACGGAATAAAATTACATGCCAAACATTAAAATGGGGAGTGCGAATAAATGAATTATTACAAGAATCAATTATACTTTTAATAAAGGTAGACTTTTCAGTGATTGGCAGTTCGATCAAGATACACTACACCAAGTTCTGGCCGAAGCAAAGTGGCAGGTGTTTAAGGGTGCAAGATAGTGGATGCGCACTGCTGAAATGTCCCATACTAGGACGAAACGGCCGTTCAGTACTTTCAAATTTAAAATAGTGATCTAACTTAGATCGATTCATGAACCCAACTATTAAAATATTATTGATCAATCCATTTATGGACTATAAGAAACATAGAACATCATCAATACTGACATAAGCAATTATCTGAATTGTGAAAATACATTGTCATCATTACAATTAACTATTTACTTGTATTCTCTAATTCACCTCACTACATATTTGTACATATATATATATATATCAACTATTTTCTTTAGCTAAATTAATATTTGCTCTTGTGGGCTCTACACCTAATGAAGATAATTCATACGTGGAAATTATTGATTTTAATTCACAAGAGTTAATTGGTGAAATCAGAAATCAATGGGAAACAGTAAGTTATTATTTGGAAAAAGAGAAGAAAATCCAGATTATTAGTTTTTTATCGGTGGTTTTGTTGAAATATACATTGTCCAAGAGTTGATACTGATGTACATTCAACCTATATATTTATCTATTTGGACACATAAATATTGGTACAAGGGGGAGGGGCTGTGACACTGCCTGGGTTCCCAAACCGAACCAGGTGGTTTCCATAGGAGGCCACACCCAGAGTCATCGACCTAAAGATCTGATCAACAAGGCAGTCCCATGGTAGCCGGTGACCAACGACTGGTTCATACGCCGTTTGTTCCCTCAGGATACTGGGGCCCATGTGCACCGTTGGTTTGGAATCTGGGTTCTCCAACTCCCCTAGGTAAACTCTGCGTGTCCACCAACCCGGTTAAAGCGCCGGACATTCGCTTTTCGTCCTCTCAATTTCGTAAACAGCACCCCCTCCACAAGAAGTCAGTGAGTAGGAGTTCCCTAGCAGAGGCTATATACGCATGGTCATTTGAGAGAATTTCGAGGGAGCGCGGACTCTCCCCGCTCTCGGTCGTATTAGGACATTTGGGGGCCTACCTATGTATGAGCCTAACTGGCTACTGGAATGAAAAGACAGATTGAGAAAGGAAATTCATGGACCATACCAAATCTACCATATATGTGGTCATTCACCAATACCAAACGTCTAATTCTTTAGAAATACACGTCATCTTGTTCAATACTCGAAAGTACTTGATCAGAATGATTTGTTACCAGTTTCTACAATTATCAGATCATTGAAAGTAATCAGGATGAAACCCTAAATCTAAATCTTATTTTAATCTACACTTGTCATCAAGAAATGCCTTTAATCCTGACTATATGGATCATGTGTATCAATTCTAGTGAACTAAAGACTATGGAATATTGAAAAAATGATTTCTGACGATTCGTAGGAAAACGTTTGTGAAAACTATTTCTCAATTAGTCAATTATTGAAGGTTAATCTTGGTAAATCGAGTTTTTTTCCCATCATATATTGATACTTTTACTGATATCGATCGATAAGTAAGTATTTCATTTATTTACGGATCCAACTTTCATCATTAAACATAATACTGATAGGTCCTGAGTTCTAATCTCGCGGGGCGGGATCGTGAATGTACACTGCCACTGAGGAGTCCCACAATAGGAAGAAAAGGCCGTCCAGTGCTTCGAGGTTTTCCATGATCGTCTAGCTTCAAATGACTCATGATCTCAACAATTAAATTACTATAATATCCACAAAATCCCTCTTTGATTAAACTATAATACCATTGAAATATTTCATTATTTTCTTTTCAAGGGATTCGGTAATGTGCATTCTATAACAACATGTCCATACAATAAAGGAATAAGTTGTATACTATTCTGTAATACAAATTTACCATCACAACTAAATCAACCGGTATTATCAAATCAAACTCAAAGAATTAAAAGTATTTCTAAATATCAAGAAGATTTCAATCATGAACAACTTGAACGACGTTTATGGCTTTATCATTTACGATTTAACTCTGAATACAATTATTAGATGAATGAAATCATGTTATCAATGTTATAATGGAATATTGATGATGGTCAACACAAATATATGGTTTAAACAAATCACTATTTTATGATCTTTATTGAAAATGTTTTGCTTGGTCCATACTAACCAATCAGAACTCCGAAATTGCACCATTTTAGCTCCTTTCGTATGGTAGTGATAAATCTTATAAGGGAACGCTTAAATCAGTTTCTTAAGCTCTTCCAATAACATCAGGCTAAATCTACACGACAAATTGAACACGAAAAAGGCGTGAAATGTATAGAGAACGCTTTACTCCAAGCTTAGTTTACGTACATAAAATCAAGGGTATTTATAGCATTTCAGATAGCCTTGGTCTTCTGGAATCCCACTAAACATAGTAACAGGATAGGTGACCATCTAGTCAGAAATGTGACACGTGACTTTTCATTTTCTAGATGTTTCTGAAGAACAATTGAGTGCTGGTTAGATAAAATGTTTCCCAGTGATATTAATATCCTATAGTAACACACTTAGGGGTGTTATGATTATGGATCGTGGGACGATATCGATCTCTAGTAAGATTGAGTTCGGCTAACATTGTCCAGCTTCTTAATAGTAAACTATATAGTGATGCCTTTTAATGAGAGGTCACTTACTATTTTAAAGAGGGAAAAAATAGGTAAGAACCTCATGTATTTCTAGGTTTACTGTTTTTGGTATGTTTCAGATTATACCAAACGTTTATTTGCAAAATGTAAATATAAACTGTATCCTACTTAACTAGAAAAAATCATACTCAACTCTATCCCAGTCAACAAACTTCATCAATTTAGAATTACTTGATAGATTGTGTGATTAGATCTTCTGAAGCCTTGCATAACTCTTAAATAAACAGCCTAAAAAGACCTGGAGAGATAATGAATTTATGAATAACTGAAAGATTATTATCAATCTACAAATTTAATCGTAGTGAAACTAGCATAATGTAACTACATGGCAAAAATAGTTATTAGAGAAACTTTCTTACAACATGAAAATCGTTTTCTTATCATAACAATTAATTAAAATACTTGTAACTTAATGGCAATTATCAAAACAATTCGCATAGAACACACATATATCAATAAGAGACTAATTAATTGTAGTAATGAGATGGTGGAGAAGATTTATAGATCAGGTCGATGATTTTGATAGTTTTATTCTCTAAGTTGGATAGTTTGATCATGAAGCTTTGATTGTTATCCACGATTCAATCATCCAGTTCAAAGAATAAAACTTTATCAAAATTGTAATAGTCCTGAACATCAATGAGAAGATTCAAACAACTAAATATAATCTCAATGGTTAAGATCATGAGTCAGTTGAAACTAAACCACTATGGAAAACCTGGAAGCACTGAACGGCCGTTTCGTCCTATTGTAGGACTCCTCAGCAGTGCGCATCCACGACCTCGCCCCCTGCGAGATTCGAACACAGGACCTACTGGCTCCACAAAAACCCATCTGATATTAATCAACATATGCTCACTAGTGACGGTCTCCAAGAGGTATTTCCTGGAGTTCTAGTGAGAAGCAGTGGTCAGTGGAATTCAACCAGGTCTGTTGTGAGATAGCAACTCACTGAAGACAGTGGTGGATGTGTCGCTCAATTTCATGGATTGGTTGAAGTTAGACATTTACACCGTTGGATGCCGGCACAGTGGTCTAGTGGTTAAGTGCTCACGCGCGGAACCAGTAGGTCCTGGGTTCAAATCTCGCAGGGAGCGAGGTCGTGGATGCACACTGCTGAGGAGTCCCACAATAGGACGAAACGGCCGTCCAGTGTTTCCAGGTTTTCCATGGTGGTCTAGCTTCAACTGACCCATGATCTTAATCATTGAAATTACTATAATATCCACAAAACCCATCTGAAACTAAATATAAATTGAATAAGAGTGTAAATGTTCAGAAGAATATATATTTCACTTGTTGAAATCATGAGTCAATTGAAGCTAGACCACCATAGAAAACCTGAAAGCACTGGACGACCGTACTGGGACGAAACGGTCGTCCAGTGCTTTCAGGTTTTCTATGGTGGTCTAGCTTCAATTGACTCATGATTTCAACAAGTGAAATTTTTTAGAATTTCCACAAAACCCTTTCTGATAAAAATATATAAATATATTTCTTTTTTACATATATGTACATGTAATTATTAAAACAAAATAAATCAATAATTCATCATTAACTCATTATTTAGAATAGTTTCCTTTTATCAGGTGACAAGATATCATTTGTATATGATTCCTGTTTAAGTAATATATCAGTTACATTATTTAAACAAGTTTGTAATGATTTTGTTTGTTCATTGGATCCAGTAACAACAGTATTATTATCACTATTATTATTATTATTATTATTGTTTGACTGATGATGAATAGACATAATCATTGAATGAATTTGTAATAACAATTCTGGACATCCATAAACAGTTGCTGCAAAACGAAGTCGATTTAATTCCTGTAAAGAAAAAGAACAACAACATCAGATTGAACAGTGAGAATTTGTTTTTTCATGTAGATGTTGGCATACAAAGTCAATAGTTTCCGTTAAAGGTACATTGGTGAACAGGAAAGCAATATCTAGAGATATCATCCGTTTCCTATTTAAGTTCATATGTTCCACTTTAGAAATGAAATCGAAAACGTCTTCCACGCTTCTGCTGATGACTAGTTTGTGTTAGGGATCTAGAATTCGATCTAACCACTTTGCAGTTTTATGATAAGGCGAATTATACATATCTAAAACTGGGCAAAGAGAAAGACAGCCATTCTGCTCACCGCTTTCCTCTTTGTCGCAGTCTGTGCCCCGCTCCTCGTCGAAATGTTGAGTACACCAGAGCGCTGACCTGAATGGCTATACAAAACTCAATTAACCCTAATCAAATTCAAAATTATGTGCTTAATTCACAATAATTGCACCTAATTAATCATTAGCAGCAGGCAGGTTGATCGATTTCACTTAATTATTCTTCAAAAAATTACACAATTAATTAAAACAACGAAGTTACTTACTTTATAAAGTAATGCAGATTTATCCGGGAGGCGTCGACTTAGTCGAAGCACTTTATTAATATCCATAAGCATTGCTGACTGTGATGCCCAAGAAACATAACGTGAACCATCTTTATTAAAACATTTTTTGAAAAGAAAAAAGTTAAAAACGAACCCCCTAATCATTATTATCACTATAAATTAGATAAACTGTTGAATGAGAAATGAGTGATAGAAATGAAAGTTAGATAAGGAGTGTTGAGGAGATCCTCGAATAAAGCCCAGAGGGATCCTGTAAAACGCTAGGAAACATTCTATTCAATCAGCATCCAATAGACGTTTCTCAGAAACATCTAGAGAGTGAAGTGTCACGTGTCACACTTCTGATGGGATGATTCCCCATCCTGTTATTATGTTCAGTAGGGTTCCAGAGCCTTCCAGAAGCCCAAGGCCATCCGGAATGTCATAAATACCCTCGATTTTTTGTACGTAAACTAAGCTTGGAGTAAAGAGTTTCTATACACTTCACGCCTTTTCTTTCGTGTTCGATTTGTCGTGTAGATTTAGCCTGGTGTTACTGGAAGAACTTAAGAAATACATTCAAGAGTTCAGTCATAAGATTTATGAAGGAGCTAGAATGAATTCAAGTTATTCAATATTTTGTTGGTAAATATCAATTTCTTTCCTGTGACGACAACTGAAATAACACGTTTTTTAAACCATATTTGTATGAGGAGGGTTGTTTGTGAAGATTATATATTTTAGCTAGACATCACCACTAAAAAACTGGGAAGCACTGGACGGCTGTTTCATCCTAGTATAAGACTACTCAACAGTCCTCACCCACGACTTCGCATCCGAGAATTTCGGACACGCTCTGCTGAGAATTTCCATACTAAGATGGAACGCCCGTCCAAGGCTGTCAGGTTTCCGGTGTTTGCTTAACCTAGATTGGTTTATGATTTAAAAATATGATAATCCGTATTTCCCATTGATTTTCTTTTTTTTGGTACTGGTTGTTAATACCGTTATTTTGCAAATTTTCCTGTCTCGGAGTTATATATATATATATATATATATATATATATATATATATATATATATATATATATATAGAGAGAGAGAGAGAGAGAGTTGCTCTACTTCAATTTCTTTGTTGAATTTCATATATTTTCCTCACTCTCGACTTTTTTCTGAGTTTCCGCTTTTAAAGATTATTGGTAAAATGTTACGTATGTCAGTTGCTGTATTGTCAAGAACGCAATAAATTTCATTGTAATAAAACAATCTTAATTATTCGTAATCGGAAATTATCGTAGGTCAAACTGAACCTAATTTCGAAGTAGTTTCCAGAAGTTTAACATCAAGCGAGTCATAAAAATCACTATTTTAAACCGAGTTATGCAGACTAGTTTTCAGGATGTCACAGAAGCAAATTGTGTACAGATCGAATATGGACACCAGTTATAAGTTAGATTAACTGAAGGGGCTGATACTATGTCAAGCCCATATAAGTTATACTGGACAGATCAAACTATTCATTCTTCTCAAGCCCCATTTTCACTGTCGCTCATTCGCTTATCAACCTTGACTGTTTTTATGTAAGCGTATGTGTGTATTTTTCTTATCTTATAATATATGTCTGTAGCTTATTTTTGTCTGACTATAAATACCGATTCGAACTTGGCTACATTGAGTTGGCTCACTCGCCCTCTCCACTCTGCATCCTTTCGTTTCGCTCTGCTCTCTCCTCTTCGCTACGATTTTCTGATTGCCTGTTCGGATCAACGGTTGTATAAAATATACGTATTCAAAACTCCATTCTCGTGTTTGACTTATCTTAATTCCGTTATTCACTAAGTCGATAATTATATACGAGGATTGGCGGAATATGTACTTCGATAACAAGTAGCAATCTACCCGGAGTCAGATCTTGGGCCAATAAAGACAGTATATGTAGATGTTATAGTAACCCAGTTCAATGAGTTTTGCGAGTGTTTAAACAATTGATCTGTACGATAGATATGTATGGTTGTTAGTCAACTCCTAGCCTATCTAATGTATAATTGTCCACATTCATATCACACAAATCTGGTTAGCCATTGCACAATACAGATTGAGAGAAAAATAAGCCAGAGGAATAATAAAAAAAGTGTAAACACATACCAATTTTATAACTCAAATGATCCGGTGTTCGAACAGGGAATGGTGAAGTTTCATTTTTATCATCGTATAATTGAGAACCGGCAAAATCTGTTACAGGTGCTAAATGACTAAAATTACCAAGCCAAGGTAAACCAGTACATTCTGAAATAAAAACAAAATGCCGTTGGGAAATGAAACAGTTCAAAAACAAAAAAGGATCAATTAATTGCTGGGGGATACACATTCGTTATTTCATATATTGATTTAAGTTTATTTTTGTCTAGTCAACTTTCAAAGCATTTTCGTGATTTATATGCATTAACTCTAAGTGTATATCGATTGTATCTAGTTGTTTGATTCATGTTGGGTTTTCCTTATAATGATTATTTCACTACGATTTCCCATTCACAGCAACAATCGTTTAGTTTGATAACATTCTGCAATATACATGACTGAATTAAAGTGGAGATTGAAGGTAGTCGACAAAATATCCTACTTGACCTAGGTTTTTTACTATCTGAGACGTGGTGCCAAGGTATGCTTGTAATCTTGAGGGAACTAGTGCTTCCTGATGGATTCGATCCCGTATCACTCAGCTTTACAGTCACATACGTTACTACTCAGCTCTTTGGGCCACGACTGATCTAAGATGTATTTAAAATGGTTGATCACTGAGCAGTGACTAATTCATTCATTCACTCATATGGCTAAATAGTATTTTAGCTGATGTCAGTTCGTGATGAAGACCGTAACTCCAATTCTTAACACTAACTTCGAACTATAAACGCCGATTCTTATTTCTCACGCTATTTTATAACCCACTTTAGAATGTAGTGGGTTAGTGAATTTTCCCAAGGTCACTTCGGTCGTTCGTAAATTATGGTCTCAACCTTCATGTATTCAGATTTCTGCTTAAAATCTATAAGTAGAAACCTTTTGAGGACTGTGAAAAGGTTAAAAAGTCGATCAATGTCGAAGAGTTTAAATATTGGACGTATCAAAATATTATCAAATTATTTGGATTAATAACAACAACAAACCTCGTTCAAATACTGACAACATTAAAATTGATTGCTTCATATCAATATGATGCAAATAACCATGACTCCAAAGAGTATGGTTCGGTGAATTTTTACCAGACTGTTGTTGTTGAAGATTACGTTTAGATGAATTGTGTGAATCCAACACTGAAATCGTACTTGAATTGACTGACTGAGTTGATTGATTATTGATTACAATATAAATATTACACATGGCAACAGTTTTTGTATTTTGTAATGATCGCAAAAGTAGGTAGAGAAGATCAGGATCAGATGGATCTAGTAAAATCAATATTGTGTAAGTGATAAGAGACAATAGTAATAATAATAATAACAGCAATAGTAAGAGTGATAATAATGGCAAAACTATGCAATACCGACGACCTTTAGCGACTTTGGGGATGGTCTTGAAAACAACCAGTCCGAATCCAGCTAAATGCAAAGGAATATCAAAATCACAGAGATTTAGGAGCATTGATATGATTAATGAATCTGAAAACTTCCAAACTCTAGAACTCCTAGACCTTAAATCTATACAATACTGTTACCACTACACTGCAAAAACACGAGCTATATCTGCTAGAGCTGAAGCAGTCGTGACTTGGGTTCCGATAATCCATTTAAACATTAAAACCATTATTTTCTAGTGATAGATTTGACTCACCAAAGAATGTACCATGGTCTATAGATTTCTTCGACCAGCATCCTCTGCAGCGTAAAATAATCTCGTCCTTTGAGTCTTCAATCTCCAGACATCTCATTTCCTGACCACAATCAAATAAAACAGTTCCTCAGAAGACAGATCACCTGAAAGTGCTGTACTATTGAATCGCCTTCTAAACCGGCCTTAATGTGTAGTCTTATCAATATTATCTGTACAAGTAACAGGTTATCTGCGACTGCGTTTGAAAAATTATATATAAACCTAGAGACGTTAGCTTTAATTCTGATTTGGTTCACTGAAAGTCGTCGGTATAATATAGTCTTATCGATACTATCCCAATGAGTAGATATTTGAGCTTGTAGAGTAGTGTAAGTCACTTCTTCAGAGTGAAAATAAATAAGTGAATTAAATTAACACAAGTAGTCAACATTCTACAATTAGTCAACTTTCCCCTGTGAATATTCTTATACATATATACGTAAACGAAGTGTTCTCTTATTAAATAGTAATAATAAACTGGATGAACTATCATGAATTGTAATAGAAGACAATAGACAGAAAGAATCTATATTTATGATGAGAAGTTACAAAGAGTAAAACATATACATGACCTTCAAAAATCCATTTGCATCTTCCGGTGTGTTTTGCAATCTGAACTATCTTCTCGTTTAGTCTCCATGTGTTCTGCCAACGCCACGTTTACGCTGTATTGAAACTCACCACTCTGTCCTAAAACTTCAAGGCTACGTTCCGCAACATACTATTTACAAGCAATCTTTTAAGTAGCGTCCACTACAGCATTAGTAATGTAGTCCTAATATACTGTCATAGAACAACAAGTATGACATCCTTAAATCCATACATAAAGCTTTCTATAAAAATGCTTTACTTCAAATGAGAAAGATAAAATCCTTCATCATTTCGACACAGAATTATGTCAACAAACTAGGATATATATGTAGAGAAGAATTCTGCATTGAACAGTTTTCCCAAGAGATCATGACTTGTACCAGAGAACATCTAAGCTACACTAAAAAACCTTCACATATTCAATGTAGACCTAGAAAAGCTACAAATCAATATTAACAATATCGAAATAACCCAAAATGGATTTTTTTTATTATAAAGAAAAACAACTGGCTGAAGCTTTCCGTATGTTGCTAGACACTAACCGCACTTAATAAGAAGGGAGATCTAACGATCTAACATAGACGATTTATCTAAATATCCACACAATCCTGTTCACATCACTAAAAAAACATTTAAATATATTGCTAACTTTACTTTTCCACAATACAAACATGACATTTTTCAAACCCACTAACACATACATATACACAGCATCACCTTATCCAGAACGGCATGTCATTAACAAGATCAAACCGATTTTGATTGTACTAAAACTATTTTTTCTCTATATTTTTGTACGATCTAAACTTATGTTAGTGTAATTCATTTATTTATTTTCATTTTTTGAAGAAGTGGCTTATACCAAGTCATGAAGTGTCAGAAGCTCAAATTTCTACTCATTTTATTTGGATAGCATAGCAAATATATCATTAGTTCATGGTAAACATTCTACTCAATACCTGCTTCGACGGGCGATGTTGTCTGGTATAGTAGCGGGCAAAGTAAAACATGGCACCAGTCCACGAAGTTATTGACAATTGAACTGACCTATGTTAATGAGTGCAAACTGCCTGGTTGGGTTTCGCATGATTATAGGAACCAGTAGTTAGAAATTTTGAATGATATGGCTTATAATCATTTTGAACAGTACAGGTGCATTCATTTTTTTTGTCTTCTCTCAGATTCTAAATCTGTGTCATATCTTCGATGCCTAATACTTATTATTATTAATACTGTTACTAACTCTATTATTCTGAGATTTGGCCTGACAATGTCATCTCTCAGTATTAGCGGGGTATGACAACTTGAACAAATGCACATATACGTACCATATTCTACATTGCGACTGACTGATTGACAATGCCCAGTTTATTTGGAAATTATCAAGCCTAACACCAGTATTGATACGAATAATAATAATAATAATAATAATAATAATAATAATAATAATAATAATAATAAATGGCTAATCACAATAAAGTTTAAACGACTGTTTAACAACAGCTTTTGCCTCAGTAGATCTACAGTTATCATACACTTAGTACCTTAAATGAGATAGAATCCACTACCAACAAACACCACCACTGAATGTCACTTAAAAATACTTAGAAAATTCCCACTGCTTAAAAACTAAGGCAGAATTTTACAAATGACTGAAATCAGAACTACTGTTGTAATTTTATCCACCGATTATTATTAGTAGTATTAGTAATACTGATTTCGATACCCTTACTCATAACGGGTAATACGCTGAAATTGTACTTGTATTCAGTAGGAAGGTTACCTCTAAACAGTTAAATTTGGAATCCAGGAACTTTTTAATCGTGATCTATAAGATGATATTTGAGTTTAACGCCAACCACTCACTTAGTCACAGAATGGTTATTAATTTAAACCTACCTACCGTTGAAACTACCAATTATGAAATTGTACAATTTACACAAACATAACTAACCCATGAATATCATTAAACGACCGGCAATTTTTAAAATTTTTTTCACCCTTTAAAACAGTTTTTTCATTCCGTTTCGTCCAATTAAATGGCTAGTTTTAAATTCGTTATAATTGGTTAGTTCTGTTTTAAAATTGTTATAAAATGTCAGTACTTGTCGACAAAGTACATTTTAATCACAATTGTTGAGGAGAGTGAGGTACCATGTACAAGCTCTGTCTAATCTCACGTTGTCACAGAAACGGAGAATGTATTTTTGAATACATTGTATCCTCGTTGTGTTCCAATCAGTTGAAGCGTTAAAGTGCGCTATCAGAACTTATGAGAAATATACGTACTGTCATTATATGGTGATTCTCATTTCCACAGAGATCAGAACTCTTATATTAAATTTGTATGTTGGAGAAATGGCCGTAGAAGATCTAACGGTTCGTCACAGCGGATTAGACGGAGGAGGTAATTTGATTAGTGTTATTACATTTTTTCACGAAGGACTTCCATGAACAATGTCCGGCCTTCATCTTTTGTAAGTTGATAGGTTACTGGACTGTTGTACGTGGGAATGTGCATCACAATCACGAGTGCGATTCCCTGAGGTACGACAGTAATTCTTGGGTGCGCAGGTTAACGGAGGTAGAGTTTGAAACTGTGCGACCGCTCCTGATATCTAGGACCGCAGCATTCGATATTAAGCACTTTGTTTACCATTCTTATGGGAAGCGTTTGAATGATCAAGATATATTTAATAGGCGGTACAAAGTGTTCTCACACGCCAACCTTCCTGGTAAGCAATCTGCCTATTTATAATGTAAACGATAAGTGATTACGCCAAAGGCTCACATAACGTCTTTAGGTGGGCTTTGCGAATACGAAATGGATGAATAAAATTGTCTATCGTATTTTTCCTTCACGACTGCTGATCAAATTAATTTCGCAGCTCGTTTTTGTGATACCATCGGTTTTGATGGGACGTACAAGACAAATAACAAGAACGTATATTTATATCAGGTAGTAGCCCTTGATATGAATTTTATGACAATACCCGTATGTATTGCACTTGTAAGTCTCGAAACATCGACTTTGATTTTTCGATTTCTATCGTTCTTCCAACGGTCAACCAACAATCGACAGGTGGTAGGCATTGTGACAGATGATTCACCTGCAATAGCTACTGCCATCACACAGGTGTATCCAAATGCCCACCACATTTTGTGTCGTGTACACCATATTCGCAATGTCATAAAGAGGGTAAGTCTTTCGTTCCTTAACATTAATCCATTTACCGTCATTGTAGAGGGTAAGATCAGAAGTGATACAACTGTTATTTCGTCTGATGTTCACTCGAACGGTTGAAAGGTAAGTCAAAATCTACATAAAATTATTTTTTAGTTTTAACAATTATTTGTCGTTAATCGAAACATCCGACGAAACATTTTTCCGATATGTGAGAGATCACTTGCTGCCGAAAAAACAAAAGTGGTCAACTGCTTTCCGACCACCAGCGACGCTACTTCAACAAATACCAACTTCGTTGAGACAACTCATCGAATTTTGAAGATGCATAAATTGAATCGAAAAACACCTGTGTTGAGATCTATATTCAGTGTGTTACTTCGCACTGGATATTGGATGAAGCATGACTTCAAAAGTATACATCAGACTGTCTCAAAAATGCAAATATCGGTCGGAAGCCACAGGTACGTCGTCTTCAGGAACGACTGACACCAACTGCATGTCAACTACTGGAGCGGCACTTGCGCACTCCTATAACTGAGGTTGTAATGTCCGTTGATTTGTTCACGGCTGTTGACGCAACAGGCATTTACACGGTCAGCCGTAATACCATCCAGTGTTCTTGTAGTTTTCATATTGAAAACGGAATGCCATGTCGTCACATATTGGCCTACTGCACACACAGTAATACTGATGTGAACATACAGTCAATTTGTGACAGGTGGTTGCAGTCGAATAGTTACCTAACCAATATTGCGATTGAGAATTGTTTCCCAGTGCAATTACGACAGTCAAGCGTCAAGAAATCGGTGTATGCCTTAGTCAGGCAAATGTCGGAAGAACAATGCAGTTTGGTCTATAAGCCTTTGTCTCGTTCTCTATCATTTATGGCTTGATTATGTATAGAATAGAAGTTCCTATTTGGGGTGTGTCGTGGCCTAATAGTTCATGTATATAAAGTCATGAGTGAGTTTGAGTTATGATAACTACTTCCCAACCTCATCTTTTGATTGGTCACTTACATATTAGAGGAGCTGAATGGACCAACAGGAGTTAAGATGTCCAGTTACTGCATTTCAGTGGCAAAATGGAAAACCACTTGACCGATTGACATAAGCGAATCCGTAATTAGTGGACACTATAATTAAGTGACCCGATTGAACGGACAAATAAGACTGCTAAAAATGGATCAAACTGTAACACAACCCAATGATGTGAAACATACATACTAAAATGATAAATTACCTGTTCGACTAACCACTGTGAAACGTCCATTTACTGGTGGATTATTTAAATCGCTGAGATTAAGGAAACCGAAGATCTCCACACAAAGTGAATTTTTTGCCAAATCATTCAATCTATCAATAATAACAATATTTAAACATAGTAATATATTAAATTATAATATGAATCTTTGGAATAAACGCAACTTATCAGTCTAGGTGAGTGAGTGTCGTAGGAAAACAACACGGACACATAATACCCGTTGAACTTTTTAAAAACAAGATTTTGTGGTCTATGGTAAAATATTTGACTCAACGTTGAGCCACATTGTTTATGCAACGACAAGCGATACTATCGAACACCACAAATAAGAATTAAGCGTAGAAGATGTTCGAATCTGTGACCTACTGCTGATTGTAAACCTAATGTTTCCACCATCACTCGCCCCATAAACTGGTTTAAAACCTTCAAATAAGTGAGCCATGTTTCCACATACGCTCCCCAAATCAAGTGAACATCATTGGTTTATCTATAAATACCTAAATAACCACACTGGTGAATTACTTGTTATGCATGCATTATTTATTCATTTAACCAATTATTCTATCCATCTAATTACATTACCAACATCTTTCTTATGAATAATCCAACGAAATACTAATATCAGTATTACACCGTACAATAATTACAGTCTCTGGTTTAATGAATAATATAGCGATTTAGTCAATTAAAAATTATAGACATCAGTGGAATTTTATTTAAATCACAAACCGACCATAGTTAGGCAACCATTGAAGACCTGAAAGCAATGGACACCTATTTAGTCTTAGTATGGAACTCCTAAACAGTGGCCATCTAAAACTTCCTTACTGAAGAACGAACACGAGAACTTTGGTATCCTCGTACAAACGCTTAACCACTAAACTCCTCCAATTAATCTGCTATATTGCACGACCAGCTTCCATTGTCTTCGATGGATACCTTACTTAAATCCGACACGGTAGTGAATGTGCACTACCGAAGAATCTCAGTTATTCAGTCCTTTGAGGTTTTCAACAATTGTCTGAGATTAGTTTGTGATTTTAATAAAACTCAACAATCTCCACAACTTTCGTAAATGATAATCATTCCAATTATATATGACATGAGAAAGATAAAATAAAAACAGTTATCTACCCAGTGAATGAATGAACACCTGGAGATGGTAATAAAACTGCCATACTTTGAAGACGTCCACAATTGATAATTACACTTGGAATTACTTGATTCGGCTGACAATGTTCAATAATATGTTTGGCTAAGTTATCTATATATAATTCGACAGTATAGACTATTTATAGGAAATAAAAGTGAATAATGCTGAACAATTGAATAAAGAACCAACTTTCAAGATTTGAAACGTATTTGTTAGCTTCGAAAATTATTGATTTCAAGTGAAATTGATTATATAACTCCATTAGATCGTTAGATAACTAAAACAAATAAAAATAGCCAGAGAATCTTGATAATATCAGTAACTATAAATGAAGTGAAAAGATAAGTTTTATACATATAAATACTGAAAGGCTAATTCAATTCAATGGTGTATGAAAAATATTATAAACAAAACAGAGGTAAAATTATCACAGAAATTATGCATAATGATTAGATTGGACCGAGTGTATAAGATTACATTTTATTATGTGTACACTTAGACACTCCGAACTTCTTAGTAGGTCTTCAGTAATTTTCTATTGTTGAATTCCAGGGAAAAACAAAATCCGAAAGGCAGAGAAACTTTATTTTTAGGATTAGTTCATTTGCAAAACAACAAGCTTATTTATAAGATTAAATATGATCTTAGAGTTTTAGAAATTTCTCTAACAAAAACCAATAATTGTCTAATCAGCATAATGGAAAAATAATACATTATTAGCTGGAATTCATTTGGGAGTTAGTCTAGGTATTTTCAGTTTTCCTGGCTTTTGAAAAATTTTTGAAAGAATTATCGAAAGGTTACAACAATATATACATAAATCCATAAGAAAAGTGATTTATCAGTTCCTAACAATTTTTCATGTAATTGTTGAATACTGACGAAGATGGTTGTGGAAGATTTGTTAAATTAGTTACACTGGGCTTATGCTTGGATAGTCGAGATTGATTGATACTAAGTTTGAAATCACCTGGTACGGTCGAAGGTGGCGAGAGTCAGCTCTCCTCTAAACGCTCTCACATGGCCACATGTATACAGCCACTACCAAGGAAGTCCTACTCACTGTCTTTACGCCGCGGCTGTGTTTACGAAATTGAGAGGATGAAAGGCGAATGTCTGGTGCTTTAACCGGGTTAGTGGACACGACGAATCTACTTAGGGGAGTTGGAAAACCCTGATTCCAAACCAATGGTGCACAAGGTCTCCAGGATCCTGAAGGAACAAATGACATATGAACCTATTATTGATTACCGTTTACCATGGGATCGCATTTCCTAACATTGTCCCAATGCTTTGTGGATTAGACTTCTAGGTCAAAAGCTCCGGGTATGGTCCCCTAAGAAAACTATCTGCTTCGGTTCGGGTATGACCGCACAGTATCCCTGCTCTCAAACCTAATAATAACTACTCTGTGTAGTGCATATATATTTTGGTGCACCTTTGTACCAATATATATACATATGTTCAAACAAATTAATTAGTTCGATGCCAAACTCATTTAATGGTACACCTTTATCATTAAGCGTAATTGAGACAGATGGACGTTAAAGTTGAACTCCTCCTTCAGGATAAACATCAATATTCAACAAGAAGGTAGGAAAAAGGCGTTCAATGTTAGGAATTTAAAAAATCATCTAATAATCTTTTAGCACAATATTTATGTGAATCCCGAATCACAATAACTTAAGTGTCAAAGTTATTTTAACGAACTTCATTGTTTAGCAAAATATTAACAAGTAGATCAGTGTCAATGTCTCAGAATATGAGACTACGAAGCCGGGGCTCAAATCCTACAGGAAGAATCAGTAGACTCAGGAATCCAGGCGTACGTTTGCTGACTGACGCCAGATACGATAAAACTTGGGTCTAGGGTTTCCTGTTGACTACCTCCAACTACCACCTAACATTTCAACATCGTACACAAGATATTGAGTTATTTCGACTAGTTGCCACATAGTAACTTGATCGATAGAATTCAATTTGCACTAAGAACTAAACAAATATGGTATTGACTAGTACTCAGTGAATACTGGACATAAGGAAATAATTTTTAAAGCTTAAAAACAGAAAAAAATGATAGTCCCAAACCATTAAGTCGCTTGATCATAAATTTTTCAAGAATTATATACATGTATATATCAGCTGGAGAAGTCCCACTCACCTGTTTATCACTCAAACTAATGAACAAAATTGAAGTATCATTAAATAGACTTTTGGGAAAATCTACTGGATAAATAAGAGAGGAATGAGTGAAGTAGGAAGATTCTCCATCTGTAAATAATAAAACCTGAAGGATACAACAAAAACAAAACAAAAATTCAACTTCATATATGTATATTCACCTAAATAATAACAAATAATCTATGTACTACTGTGGTGTGTGCTACTTATATTGACATGGTGTTAGTCGTGAACAGGTCTGACAGCGGGGAGACAAGAGGATCGAACAGTAAAGAATGGAAACAGGATGCAATTTGTATGAAAATGCAAGAACAATGAAGTCTGAGTCATTTTGAGACAGTCGATGGACATTTTGCATATTAGGCATTTACTTTATGATTGTTAGATTTTATTAACAAGTACTGTAATTTTGTGTTAAATACATTCGATTGTCCCCACTGGTGTTCTTGCTCACTACACTACTAATATTGCACAACAATCACAGTAATGATTTGGTAAAATTGAAAGTCATAATAATGATAATTATTTTTATTATAATGATCGATTTAAATAATCACACTTAACTTGAATTTAGATTAATTCAATGAATTCCAAAATGTGATCCAAACCAATCTACCAGAAATATGTTATCTGTAATCCTAAAAACAGTCGTTCAACCATAAGCAACGTCGAGCTTGGAATGTATATGCATCAACCGAAGATATCATACCACATTAGCACAATAAGTTGGAATTGCTAAGGCAAGTACCACTGGCGTCGACAGATATAAGTAGTACGTAGCACCAATAGGAAGTGGAATGTCTGGCGGCGGAAGTTTAAGAAGATGGAGGAGAGAACGAGAACAGAGAGTTATTGGTATGGAAATGAAGGAGCCATGTCTGATAACGTCTTTAGCCACTGTATTGAACCATCTCTAGGACCCCAATCAAGAAATCATGTAGATCCAACAGAAGCCAGTCCTGTACAGCTTTCTTTCATAACACGACACCATGTCATACACTGACTACCTCTCCGCTTCTTCCAACTGGTCCCAGTGTCGCAAATAATGCACGACGTGGAATTCTCTAAGACATTCGTAGAACATGTCCAAACCACCAAAGCCGATGTTTCAAGATAGTGACACAAACTGAATTATCGTCGCTGTACCCAAACACACGATGCCGAATATCTACATTACTAACATGGTGTTGCCACACGATGTCAACAATCCTTCGGAAACAACGATGATCAAATACAGAGAGTCGTCTAAAATCCTCAACACGAGGAGGCCAGGCCTAACAAGCATTAAGTAAAACTGCTCTCACCGACGCGTTGTGGATCCGACTTTTTACAGACAGACTGATATCACAAATGCGCCCAACATGGTTCAGGTTGGCATAAGTAGTTCTGGCTTTCGCTAAACATAAATTGGTCGCATCACTCACGCCACCACCAGCACTTATGCAGCTACCCAGATACACATACTTCTCGATTACTTCTATTTGCTCACTACCCAAAGTGAGTGCAAGATCAGGGTCCTGTTAGTCTTGTAAAAGTACTTTGCACTTCGAAAGTGCAAAGCACACTCCATACTTACGGACACCTATTGCCAACTGATTAAGTGCGGATTGAATGGCTTGGGTATAGTCGCACAGTAAGACAATATTATCCACATACTCAAAGTCTATAAATCTTTCTCCAGGCAACAGATCCACATCACTATCACCTACACCCATCAGAGCCGTTTCCAGAAAGTCATCGAGAGCAAAGTTGAGGGAGAATGGTGAGATTGGGCAACCCTGTCTAACCCCACTGCTTGAATGGAATAATGGAGAGATGGTTTTATGTCCTCACTCTGCCTAATATGTTAACATATAGGGCTTTCAAGATGTTAATAAACTTCTCAGGCACACCCTTCCTTAATAAACAATCCAAGACAACAGTCCTGTCCAACGAATCCACGGCGACCTTAATGTCAATAAATACTACAATTGTTGGTCTGTAATATGTATGATGGTGTTCCAAAATATGTTGGAGGGTGAAGGTATGATCAATACATCCTCGACCAGAACGAATACCAGTCTGCTCCTCGCGAGTCAATCTCTCCCGGGTTTTGAACAACCTAAGTGTGACGAAAGCCAATAATTTGGACGCGATCAGAATTAGACTTACTCCCCGATGGTTGTTGCAGAAACGACGTGAACCCTTTTAAAAGATAGGGACAACTATCGACTCATTTCATGATGGTGGAACACTAATTGCTAGACCTTTGTAAATAAATCAGTCAATTCCATAAGCAGAAAGTCGCCACTATCTTTAGAAAGGGCCAGAGGTACGTTATCTAGGCCTGGTGATCTGTGGTGTTTCAAGAACTGGAGTTCCTTGCGGACTCCCACATCGTTAGGTGGACCAGTTGTCGTAGACCATGGAGGTCAGGACAGTCTGATCGATGTTACCGGGAAGTAGATCGGTTAAACTGTTATTCAGAAAACTCTACCCATCGTCCAAGACGTCGTTAGATGTTACTGATTGGCATCCCGTCATTTCCACAGATTGTTTCACTCACACTAGACTTCCTGCTGCCAGTGACTCGGATGAATTGAAAGAGTTCCCGGCAGTTACCGGATGCCGCTGCTGCTTCCGATTCGTCGGCACATTCCAACCAACAGAGTTCTCGGCCCTTAGGCAAGCTTTTCACAATTTCATTGCGTAACAGTCTTCATTTGTGGTCAAACTCGCGGTCAACCGGAATAGACCAACATGTTTCAACAAGTTGTAAAGAGCCTGTAGAAACCCAGTGTTTAAAAGCGGGACGTTTCGCGAAGCCGCAAGCGACTTTACTAGCCATTTTCATGGTATCATGCAATTATAACCAGTGGTCATCTATACTTTTGAGACTATCCCCCGAGCCTTTTACCTAGAAGTCTAATCCACAAAGCATTGGGACAATGTTAGGAAATGCGATCCCATGGTAAACGGTAATCAATAATAGGTTCATATGTCATTTGTTCCTTCAGGATCCTGGAGACCTTGTGCACCATTGGTTTGGAATCAGGGTTTTCCAACTCCCCTAAGTAGATTCGTCGTGTCCACTAACCCGGTTAAAGCACCAGACATTCGCATTTCATCCTCTCAATTTCGTAAACACAGCCGCGGCGTAAAGACAGTGAGTAGGACTTCCTTGGTAGTGGCTGTATACATGTGGCCATGTGAGAGCGTTTAGAGGAGAGCTGACTCTCGCCACCTTCGACTGTACCAGAGCGTTTGGTACCAAAAGTTATAAACATGTTGTATAAAAACCACCTAATGTGAGCTTGCTACATAAATACCAGCATGTGAAACGAAATTGGAGCTTGTCATCTGATGCCAAGTTTTTAAGTGCTTAATTGTCATCCAACTTAAATATCTGCAATACGTAATTTTAACAGTTAAATATATAAATATAAACATTGTATTCACTTGAATATTTGACCATGGTCCATAGTACAGATATGCTTCTTTCAAGATGTTAAGAATTGATGTGGCAGTCAATTCACTAGGGAACATCACCTTAGCTGTCTGTTCAATGTGATCAATTGCACTATGCAAGCTAGATATATCGGAGGAAAATGCGCCAAGTGATCCTTTAGGAGACAAGCTTGTTGTATCGCACTGTTAAAATAAGAAATTAAAACATGTTGAATTCCCAACTATAGCTTATATTAAGAATCGAAAAAGTACTTATACAATGGTAGAGTGACAACCAAAAAGGGAGAATAAATCAGGATGCTGAATTTTGGTAATTCATTTCATAATTCTAAATAAGAACAGATATTTTTGCAGAGAAATTTTCTCTTCAACGAACAGATCTTATAATTTTCATTCATTATACCCACGTATACAGATATACAAAACCTTTTTATTACATGGATTATCGTGCCGAAATAAGATTGTACAGCTTTTAGAAGTGAAGTCATCGAAGAGAAAATTCCGTTATTCAATTTTATCATTAAAAACACTGTATTATAACAGCTCATAACATCAGTAACAAGTGTAATCCATTCGGTGCAGCAGGCTTATGCACTCCAGTTATGAGTCAGATAGTTTACGTGAAAGCTTCCTAAATTTAAGAAGATACAAAAAGGTTGAAACATGTAAACCACTGATTAGGAGTGAAGTGAGGTGAGCACTAAGTTCTACAGTTTGTAGAACCATTGGACAGTATTCTGTAAAGGATCCTTATTTAAGGGCTCCATCAAGTTTATCCTGGTACTTCGCTGGCTTGATAACAACAACACTACGAGCATAGTGCTGACTTTAACGTAAACAATACTGAGATTTGTGATAAAGTACAAATTAGAGTTTAAAATATTTGGTACGAGGGTAGATATATATATAATCTTTGAAAAATAGGACACGCTTCTAACCACATTCAGATCTACACCCAAAAACTTATATTTAAGACTAACACCTGATCTTTGTGAACTATTTACGCACTAATCTATTCATAACAATACTGCAGAAAGTATGCTTTAGAATAAGAAAAATAATAACTTACTACAGATATAAAACCAGGATTTTCAAAGTTACAAAGTCTAACTATAACAGATTTAGCCAACATGCATAGCAATTGACTGCATGAAAATGATGGAAATTTTTCATTTGGACGCAGAATACGTAGCTGTCTATCAATGACAATTAGACGAATCATTTCTTAGAAACTGTGAAATGTGTCTAAAAACGAAACAGAATTAATTTAAGATTTTATATCTGATCAATCCTTAAAGACGAGGAAAAAAAATCCAAACTGTAATCTTGTATAGGTTTGCATATTAGGTGTGAAGACTACCATACTAGCCAACCGTTTGTGCTGCAGTAAGTGAGAAATAAGATACAATGATAATCCAAACAAATAAATGGATATACCCGACTTTTTACTTAAAACAACGATAGGGATTATAAATGGTTTGACTAACAATCACTTAAAATAAGTATGGAAATCTAAACCTTTACTCTCCACAAATTAACAAAGGCATATTACGCCTTGTGACCGGCCTAAAGAAGTTTAAGAGCTAAAACATTTAACAAACACTAACTGAATAGGTTTTTGTACTTCCGATTGGACAATCTATAAAGCAAGCTGTCACCCAGCAGCTGAAGTTCTAGTGGATCTAGGAAAGTGTTGTCAGTCAATCTGTTCTGTGAGGAATAAAGTTTAATGTAGGACAGTGTGATGGCTATGTATCTTGGTGTTCATGTTACCAGAATGTAAGTCAGTCAGTTTATTGTAGCTGTGTCAATAAAAGAAAGTGGAAAAATGATGAATTGATCATATCTAGAGAATGGGTTCTTTTGAGAGAAGTAACGGGTATAAAAAGAACAGGAGTTCAACAAGAAACTGAAAAAACAATTGACCAAAGCAGGGTGTTTTTTGCTTTCCATCTAGGAAAATAACAACCCAGTTTCCCAGACATTTTTGATGACGGAGCTATATCTTGACCATAAGTTAAAACGTCTTAAAGTTAGAAAAACCGAAAATGAAAAATAATAAGCACTTTATAAATAGAAACTAGATTTGGGACAAAAGACTGTGTTGTTTAGAGTTGCCAATAGGCCAGTTTCGAATAAATTTCACCGGATACGAATATGCAATAACCTAAAAATATCAAACAATATCAATGCAGTGGGTAGAAGTAATGATAATGTCTATGATGGTAAAGAGGGCAAAACAGTGAATATAGTTCAGTAGTGAGGTCCAAGAAATAGTTACGAAACACAGGACTTGAGAGGAAATAAAAAGACGGATGTATTTCCGTCACTAAAACCAATTCTGGAACATGATCCAACTTCTGGATATGATTGTTGCACGGATCCTAACAACTAGTCTGACCGAAAAGTTAATAACTTAGTAGCGTTGGATTCCATTTTAACCGCTTCTAGCCTTCTTTCAACCTACTTCTGTAACTAGTAACATTGTGCACCGATATGGGTGGCAATTCTGTAAGCTTGACATAAAGAGTATGGGTTAGGATGTGGATAAATGACCCAGTCTACATATGATTTACACACCGAAACATTCCCCATCCAGCCTGAAATATTTAATTTAACCTAGGGTTTGTGTAGGTTCCGTGATCTATAGATATTAAGAAAGATACAACTGCTTTACAGCTAGGAGGACAAACGAGGCAATATGAATAATGAGGAAATGAGTTATCCTACACGTATCTCTCGCAAATAGTTGATCAATTTACACATAAAAGACAGCACAAAAATCTTGATTAGGAAGTTTAATCAGACTGGACTCGGCCGTATTATGGTGAGTTAGTATATACATACTACATTTTATCAATTTAGTCCCTTAGTGCGATGATTTATAGATACCTATAGTCTGGATCGACACCCACTGACAAAGATGACATAAACCACTGGTATTTGACAGTAATCTCAAGCACTGGAATAAAATTTACCTTTGAGATACGCTCTAAACATTCGACTACAATTAAAAACCAGATGGTGCCGTAAAACTTCGAACGAGTTACACATCCCGAACATTTAAACTACTTCAAGGCCACCACTCACAATCCGGTATCCAATACATTTTATATCTATGTGACAAGCTTATGTGATTTATTTACTCCTTGATATTGCTACAGGACTCCATGTCTTTGATGATGTCTAGTGTGACTAATTCATCAAAATGTACTGATCCTAATGAGTTCGACAGTTAAGTATTGTCTATCGAAAAGATAGAATTCTGATTTTCTTGTCACACTGATACTATTTATGACAGAATATTTGACTTACAAACTCTCCTAATTGTAAGAGAATCATTAACAGCCGATCCGCTCAGAAATATCTCCATATGGTTTAAAAGACACCTTTCATTTTCCTGAAATTCTAGAAAACGTCAAGGTCTTTGATAAATTCCTCATTTCTTTTAATGTCCTAATACCATTTGCTGCAGTCTCATAGAATAAACTCTGCTAATTGTGTGTGAAGACAGCGGACTTCTTCTCCTACCAAGAGTAGGATCAAACAGCTCTCACCACTGTGCACAAAATTAGTACAGTTTCAAAAGAACAACACATCGAAGAGTTGATAGGGTCACTTTGTACATGCCATCGGGATCGATCCTGAAAGTACAGTAGTCTGAGAGGCCTAAGCTTCATTTTAGTTGATCGAACAATCTTGATGGTCATCAACGTTGATGATCTCTGTAGAATAACTGGAGGCCTACTCGAGTAAGGCAGGAATGATGTGATGGACCAGCTAACTTCGAAGGCACACCTAGAGGTCAGCATCGAATATGGATAACCTTTAGACCTATCAAATTGCTATGATTGCTTTGAAGACCATGTAACACAAAAGACGTTATCATAGAAATATATTAGTAAGAGTGAGTACAGAGAAGATAGAGAGACCACCACTGTATGGCCCAGCCCATGGCATACGAATAACTGATGCGCGTTGGTTGTCCTTGACCTTGACAGGGATTGATGATCTGTTCTGTATTCAGCTAGAGCTCATTGACATTTCACTGGTCCTACAATACTCCCCCACCAGATCAAACAGCCTTTTGAATCAGTAACAAACATGTTGGGAGTATTTGCACTCCGTAGATTGCCAAACAATTAATATGAATCCTCCAGATATTGCTGAGTGGTAAGACAGGTGGAAAGAAGGCGGTCGGAAGTGATCGGGAAACAGCGAGTTGTAATATGTTACTAGGACGTTAGTTGAATGTAAAGCGATTAACAATAGAAATGATAGAAAAAACATAACGCTTTAAAATTCCATCAAGTCGAGATGAAGTAGATATCTTCGACGCGTAATTGAGTTCCACATATGACCATAAAATTAAAAAAGAATAGATATAGAATGCAATAATAAGGTTGATAATGATTGGTTGCGTTTTTCGAAGTCTTGCTGACTAGTGTAGATCACTAACGTTGATGATCTCCGTAGCCCAGTTGTTATGGTTAAATAATGTCTAACGCCAACCTTCAAGCCATAGCGTAAAAACTTGTATTAGCATGTATATCTCGGCAGTATAGTGAGGCTAACATATAACTGAAAACATAAGTCTAAGGGGCAGGAAGAAAAGAAGAGCAACCTCAACATCATTGGATAGCTGCTTTGTATCCAAATATAAAAAGCCTCAGGTGGACCGGATGTTCCGCTTCATAAGACCGGGTGGATCAAAATCATCTCCCTCACATGTTTGCTGGTTAGTGACACATTCCTCCCTCCTTCTGTTGCGCCAAGTCCATTGAAGGCTATTGGTGGAATAAACCTTGACATTAGTTTTCATTGTACGTAAACGCATCTCCGTATGTTTTGAAAATTTTTCTTCCAGAATCTTCATCTTCAATAATATATAAATGTTCATCCAATTTGCAATTCCTTCATAAGTGTTGTTACTGTTTCGTTAATCCTCATTAATCTGACAAAAGCATGTATATTTGTTCTAAATAATTATTACTATGGTTTTAAGGGTATTTTAAGCAGCTAACGATAGTCTATGAACTAAATGAATTATGGTGTTTAATACACACATGCTAAGTTCAGATAATTGCGTTCTCATTTTGGAACACAACATCTGACTGGGCAAGTGACTGTCAAACGCACGAGATCGATTCTATCGGTTTAATTTTTCTCGGTTATCCGACTAATTCATATACCTAGTGTGTGAATCCTTCTAACATTCATTTGCTTGATTACCTATCTAATTATATGATTGTCACATTCCATCACTACACTAATCGTTAACCAACTGAGATACATTAACTCACTGACTTTCTGATCACTATACTCATTTCAATACAATGCATTTTATACCAGTCTAATGTAGTTTTGAACTTGCTTCACTATAATACAATTACTGGACATTCTACGACCAGTGTTATCCCTATTCTAATACAGTTGCTGGTAATTGTAAGTGTCAGTGTTATTCCAATACCGTTTTTTTATTTTAATGGGTTTCAATTAACTCCTCCTGCAGCTTTTCTAGAGTTACTGCCGGGCATGGGGTTAGCGATCCCATCCCGTAGAAAACTAACTCGCTAAAAAAACGCTTACCAGAAAAAATTATTCAAACCATTTAAACTCTGCCCTGGGAGTTAGAAGGTCTTCAGTTAGAAGAATTATGACGCTTCATGGTGAAAGCCGAGTTCCTTCGGAAGCCACGAGGCCGATGCCCCTTCTAACAACCAGAGCAAAAATTTTTATAGGTACATGGAACGTTCGAACAATGTGGGAAACCGGGAAGACCAGTCAAATAGCAATGGAAATGAGGAGATACAACTTAGCAGTACTGGGAATCAGCGAAACCCACTGGACCCAAGCTGGACAGAAAAGGCTAGCTACGGGAGAGATGCTGCTATACTCCGGTCACGAAGAGGAAAATGCTCCACACACTCAGGGAGTCGCTCTTATGCTGTCCAAAGTAGCACGAAATGCACTTGTAGGATGGGAGTCTCACGGATCCAGAATCATCAAAGCATCATTCAAAACAAAGAAGGAGGGGATCTTAATGAATATTATCCAATGTTATGCACCCACCAATGATAGCAACGACGACATTAAAGATCAGTTCTACGAGCGGCTGCAGTCAATCATTGAGAAATGCCAAGAAAGGACCTAACTATTCTGATGGGAGATCTAAATGCCAAAGTCGGAATAGACAACACCGGATATGAAGATATTATGGGA